AAAGCATCACTGAAGCATTATCACAGTATCACCGAAGTATCACAGAAGCATCAAAAGCATGTTGAAGCGATAGGTGCTTTAATGTGTGCTAAAGTCAAAGCAAGTGTAAAGGAGCACTTAAAGCTTTGTTTAGGGACTGAGTGTTTAATATCAGGGTAGGGTTAGAGGTGAATTAAGGGATAGGATTTAAGATATATGTTTTACATTAAGATGTAGGATTGAAGTTAAGGGTAAATCATTAGGTTTGGGGGAAATTAACATACATGTTAGAATCACATTTAGACCTCAATCACATGATATTTTACATCCAGCTGCAACACAAATCTAGTAAACTCATGCAATTGAATGCACAGGTGCTTGTAGGCAGTTAAGTCCTCATGCACACTTGATGTTTTTACAGCTGCTTTTGACATTTTTTTCTACAGTCAATAAACTCCCCAGCATGTTATCTTATGTGTCCATGCACACATAGACTGTAATCAAAGTTTTTTTGGCTGGAAAAAAACCCCAGGGCTAGTGGGTTTCTAGAGGAGGTTTTTAGCTGTACAAAGGCTCTAACGCTGAAAAACGCAGTAAAACACCACAAACTGGTGTTTTTGGACTTTCTTTGACCTCCAAAACTTTTTTGGGGTAAAAAACGCAAACGTGGGAAAATGCCGCTAAACGCTAATGCAAAACAGCTAAAACAAGCTGAAAAACAAGTTTTTAACGTGACTTTACACAGCTAACATTACCAGTGTTATAAAAACACCCATTGTGCATGGAGCCTAAAGTCTCTCCGTCTGTATAAAGCAATGACAGGCTGAAAGTGGCTGCAGCTGTCTGCTGGTGTTCATGCGTAATTACATATGGAACAATTATCTGTCCCTAAATGCAGGTATGCAATTCATGAACATGCTGGCGAACAGTTGGGGCTGCTGTCAGCCTGTCTTCTCTTTATATAGACTGAACGTCCATATCTGCCTGCACACACTTGTGAATTCAGCTTCAGGATTCTGACGAACTCTTGCCAATGCTTTGTCCGTGCTCACCTATGGGCATTGTCTGCTGTTCTCTGGGTTTTATTTCCTTCCCTTCCATCACTTCCTGGCATGCCTCCTTGTTTGCTTGTCTATATAAGACGTGCTCAGTCTAGGCCACTTTGCCTGAGCAACTTCTTAGTTGTCTGAGCTCCTGTGTGTTGCTAACGCCTGTATCTTGCATTTGACTACTTGTATACCAACCCAGGCTTCGTTCTCCGCTGCTTGTTTTCCGCCTGTCCTGACCTCGGCTAGTCTATCAGATTCCGTTTGTCTCCTCCCATTGTACTCTGCTCACGCGAGCGGTCTCCACATCCTCAGCTGGGCATACCCGGGGAGTTGCTATCTGGTCCCAGCTTGGTGCAAGTCCATTCCCACCATCAGGGGCTCTGGTGAAGAAGCAGGCTGGGGCTTAGACTCCGCGCCCTGGGGATCCCCAAGTTGACTATCTACAAGGGCTCACTACCACAGGTGCTGACACCTTAGAGCTGTGGTGGTCACCAGATATACAAAAAGTTTGTGCTCAAATCAAGGCATGCATTGATGAAACACGGAGGTGCTTGAAAAGATTATGACCTAATGTAATATACATCTTCAATAAACCTCATACTATAACTAGCCAAAGGAGACAAACAAGGACTGGCCACTGACTCCTAAATGGATCTCTAGTCAAACTTTTTTCATCTCCACTGCTTAGCATCTCCACTGCTTAGCTTGGTGACCGTTGACATATGGTAATGGGAAAAATCAAAAATTTTACTGTTGTTTCTGAAACAGGACCAGAATATCTGGGAAGGGATCTCCCCCAACTTTGGAGAGATTTTCTTCTGCTTCCCGTTGTGTCTCTGGTACAGAAAGTTAAGGGAAATCTCTCTTCTGCTCCTATGAGACACAGCAAAAAATGTGAATGGCGTTTCAACCATTCTATACCAAAATTAAAAAGATATCTACAATTATAAAAATGTACAGTTTTGGATTTCTGTTTTGATACAGATTTTGTCAGACACTTTCTTAAAATATAACTAAAGGCAAAACTTTTTTTTTACCTTTGGACAAAGTGTAGATGGATTAGAACACCTGTCATGGTTTTTTTATTGATGTATGTGGCCCCATTAGGGAGATTCACCTCTTCTATTTGTCCTGTTTACCATTAGAACTGAAAATAAAAAAGTAAAAGAAAATGCCAAATTTTGGGTTGTCCCCAGAAAAATAACAGAAGAAATCTTCCAATGGGGACACTGGTTCTGCTGACCTGGGGGTCCCCAAGAGATTTCTTTAATCTCACTTCCTGTTTTGGCTACAGGACAGAAAGTAAAGGTATATCTCCCCAATAGGACACAGATGACAAAAAAAATCCACAAGAGTTTTAACCCTCTTTTACTCTATCCAAAATGAAAAAAAAAAAAAGTTTTGCCTATACTTCTACTTTAAGTTTGCAGCACCGTAATGAAAGTCTTGTGATAATGAGTTTTTGATGCAACAAAATAACCACCATCCTTATCTATAGTATATGTGGTCAGAGATGTCATTCCTAAGGAAAAGAGTTAGTCATAGAATCTATATTAGTTATAGGTGAGCAACTGATAAACTTCCTGGGAGATGTGGACTTCTCACCAGTGATCATAGTAACAGTCTCTTCTTCAGGCTCTGATCTGAGACAGCTCGCATTATGTGATCTACAAGTGCTTTTTATCATTGACAACTGTAAACCATAATCAACATATGTCACAAGACTGAAAATCACAATTTCTAAAGCAAGCAAAATACTTTCTTGTATTGAAAAAGGTATAGACTCCAGAGCGAGAGAGACCTTATTTTGCTGCGTACAAATCATTAGTAAGATCTGATCTGGAATACACAGTTCAGTTTTTGGCACCAGTTGACAAAAAAGGATATCGGAGAACTGGAGAAAGTGCAGAGAAGGGCAACCAAACTGGTAAGAGGTATGGAGGAGCTCAGCTATGAGGGAAGGTAAGCTGAAATTAATGTATTGTCTCTTGAAAAGAGGAGATTGGGGGGGGGGGGGGGGGATATAATCATCATGTATACATAAATAGGTGGTCCATATAGTGAATGCTACAGAAAACAAGGGGCACTCTTTATGTCTGGAGGAAAAGAGAATTAACCTTTAAATACAGAAATACTTCTTCACAACAAGAGCTGTGAAAATATGGAAAAGAGTCCATACAGAACTAATTCTGGCTGGCTCTGCAGATTGTTTTAAATAGAGCTGGATGCATTCCTAAATGCACAAAATATAATTGGATACTAACATTTATAGGTAAAAACACTAGACTGTTGATCTTGGGATTACCCAATTGCTTCTTGGGGGGATCAAAAGGTATTTTTTCCCTCCACTCAAGCAAATTGTTTCAAGCTTTGGGTTTTTTTTTGCCCTTGTTTGGATCAACTGTGAGTATAGGATTGTGTATATGGAGGCTTTCTATTGTTTTTTTCTGCTGGTTGAGCTAGATGGACTAGTGTATTTTTTTCAACCTAACTATGTACCTATTTGCCTATTTATTATAAAGATCCCTGATTCTTCTGTATGTACAGATGTTTATCTACACATTACACATACATTACTGTACATATTATTCATAAATAGCTTGGTAAGCTTTTGCCATTTGCAAATTTTTGCAATGCAAAAATGGTCATTTTTTTAAATACTGGATTGATATAAGTATTTTAATAATGTTAGGTGGTATTAGTAGAATCCATATATAAATTTCCTAACGTATAATTTTACAAAATGTTATACTTTTATTTATGTAGTTCTAGTTGTCTATGGATCAGTGACATGTTATAATGTGTCAATAACATTTGTATAGAACTATACCCATTTTTGGGTTTGATGGTTTGATCCTCTGCTGGGTCTTTACAGGTGCTGGAGTGGGCAATGCCACCTCTCCTCCCATGCTCCATCTGCACCTTAACTTTTTGCCTGGGTGTCCCTAAACTCTCCATGATGATGGGAGACATTGCCATTTGGGTCTTAATGGGCTGTAAAGATGTGGTAGACAGTGGGGGTATTTGCTAAAAAGGGATAGGAAAATGTGGTGCAGCTCTACATACAAACAATTAGTTTCCAGGTTTTATTATCAACGCTTGATTGAACAAGCTAATGTTAGAAACCGATTGGCTACCACGCACAGCTGCACCAGATTCTGAGTGCACCAGTCTTAGTAAATCTCCCCCAATGTCTTTTCTGGGTACAGTTCTGTGACTCCCTGAACTGGCTGCTGCTGCATTAGACAAATTTTTTTGGAAGTTCATCATGACAAATTCTTTGTCATACATCTGACAATGCTGTATTGAAAGCCTGGATTTGAAGGGAATCTTTCATGAATCATTTGTAATAGACTTCAGATGAAAGCTGCAATTCTCCTACTCTTGGGCGACTTGCTAGTTCTAAGGCAGCCAAATGAAGCCTAATCAGGACCCCGTGCCTGTACTGGTATTCAGTCGAGCAGGCACTAATAAACAGCTTCTACCTGAGGCTTAACCGACAGGTATTTTGCTTTGCAGCACTGTCAATTTGAAGATATGCGCACAAAACTATGAATTACATTTTTATATGGGTAACCATAACAATCATTAAGGCACTAAAACATTAGCCAGTTATTGGCCAAGAAAGGCAATGTAACCCGTGTTGGTGCGCTGCAGTGCTATTCATTCTAAATGGCAACCCAACACACCTTTCCGATGGACTAACCTTCAAAAGAAAATACACTTTAGTAATTGTCCTTTTTTCTTCTCTGTCTGGTATTAGTGAAGGAGTATCAACTTTCCATTATATTCTCCTTAGTAAATACACTTAATATCCTTTGTTTGTACTTTAGCTACATCAGGACTGTACCATGTCCCTCACTTCTTCAGAAGAATGGGGCACTTGGTAGTTTCCATGGTGGCTGGTCTGCTCCCATGTCATCATACCATTTTCATTGGTTGTGTCTTTATGACAATAGGAATATCGATGGTTCATGTGCTGAGAGAAGGAGCCAGAATGCGAGAATCTCTTGCCACATTTGTCACAGCAATAAGGCTTCTCTCCGGAGTGCAGGCGGACATGTTCAATGAGGTGATGCTTGTGCTTGAAAGCCTTGCTACAAACTTCACACTGATGTGGCCTGTTACCTAAACACACAACATATGTTCAAGATGAGAAATCAAAATGACGTCAGCTGTAATCTACATTCTCACGAAAGTAAACATTCAAGAGAAATCATAAAATCAGAAATGGTTGTTTATACGTCATGTCTTTTATATAATATCTCATAATATTCATTATTATGCTGATAGTTATATCCCTGACCCATTAGAATCTGTAGCATTTATATTCTTGAGGGTAAATTATCTGAAGACAGGAGGCTGATGATATAAAATGCAGGAACTATGCAATGTATGGTAATGCAAGAAATATAGGTAAAGTACACTATGTGTAATACCTCTATTTGTGCACATCCTGCTTCTTAACAGAATTATTTCTCAACTTATAAGGGTCGCTAGCATAGCAGGGCAATTTTACAGGCAGTGGTAGATTGCATGTAGCCTGGCCCTTGTACTGTTTTCAATTCAGGGCCCTTTACCCCAGCAGAGCTGTTTATATGGCTTAAAACACCCTAAAAGCAGCAGGAAGGGAGGCCTGACCAATTTTATGAAACACTGCACATACTAAAATTACATTTCTAATAGAAAGCATGGCAAACATATTTACCAAGATAATAAAAGTGTTTAGAATTTTTTTAAACTATAAAATCGAAAGAACAAAACAAATGAAAAAAAAATTGTTTACATATGTAAAGTAAAAATAAAAAAAAAATAAACTGGCAAAATAACAGTTAATCAGAGAGAGGAAAGAAGACTTTAAATAACATGTAATTATTAAAATCAAATATTTATTTATTTCAGGTACTTATATAGCACCGTCAATTTAGCAGCACTTTACACATATATATTGAACATTCACATCAGTCCCTAACCCTCAAGGGGCGTACAATCTAAGGTCCCTAACTTACATTCATACATACACATAGGGCCAATTTAGACAGGATCCCAATTAACCTACCAGCAGGTTGTTGGAGTGTGAAGGAAACTGGAGGAAACCCACGCAAGCACAGGGAGAACATTCCATGCAGGAGGGCACTATGGTCAGGAATCGAACCCATGACCCATTTACTGCAAGGTTAACCACTAGGACTAGGCCACCCAAATATAAAACTTTAACATTGTTTATGTTATTTTTTCTGGGGGAGGAGGGGGGTGGGGCTGTATCGGGGTGGTGCAAACCCCCCCCCCCCCCCCCATGTAGGCCCATATAAGTAGTTACACAACAAACAGGTCAATCGATAATTTGCAGCTTTGATTAAAATAATGCCCAGTGATCCTGTCATGAAGGTTCTTATTTAGGCACTTCTGTTACAGGTGCAAACACCCTGTCCCTTGAAGATATTGATGCACATCAGACTGAAATACACCCTGTTGCAGGGTGCTGAAACAACTGGTGGGAGGTGTTGCAGCATACAGCTACAAAATATGTTGCCAGCACCCTTTAATATCCGTCCCTGTCTCACATACGTGTTCCTACATCATCACCCTGTCACATGAGCTTCTGATGGAGACTACAGACAGCTTTTTCAACACACAAGCATAATTTACTATTGTCATCATCGATATACCTGCCCTGAGATATGGCATGCACTAGCTGTGCAGAAAGGCAATAAAGCCGTGTACCTTTTTTAAGTTGTGGCACCCTTTAGAAGTATGCAAAAACATAAGGTATTCCAGTCTAAATTGTGAAAAATGTGAATGTCACTTATCAATGGGAAACCTGAGCCTGGGACAATGCACACAGCCACCTTGATTAAATTAACTCACATCAGAAGCCCCCCGTTACAGCAGAGATCCCCTCCCATCACATCAGAAGTCCCCTTCACATTAGAGTTCCCCCTTGATGCCAGAGGTCTCCCTAAACATGAGAGGCCCACCATCAACTTCAGGGGTCCTCCCATCACATCAGAGGCCATCCATTACATCAGAGGTCTCCCATCACATCAGAGGTCCCCTTCACATCAGAGTCCCCCTTGATATCAGAGGCCTCCCTAGACATCAGAGGCCCTCCATCACATCGGGGGTCCTCCCATCACATCAGAGGTCCACCCATTACATCAGAGGCCCTCCCATCACATCAGAAGTCCCCTTTACATCAGAGTCCCCCTTGGTTGTCAGAGGCCTCCCTAGACATATATCATATAGGAGGTCCTCACATCACATCAGAGGTCCTCCCATCACATCAGAGGCCCTCCATCACAGAGTCCCCCCACCCTCATCCCCCCAATACATGTTTGGTGTGGCAGATGGGGAGATTTCCCTTGTATATTGTCCTGGTGACATCACTGTCTCTGGGCTGAAAGTGGGAGACTCCTTTACATGACACAAATGTCAATAAAGTTGACTCTGAAATTCCCGCACTCTACTTAAATGTGTTTTATTACTGCTATTTCCTTGTTTGAGAGTTTTCACCTAACTTCCTAAAGAAGTACTAACTCTTCCACACTCTAACCAAGGAAAAACGAAAGTTTTGTCTGGAGTATCATTTCGTTCATAAAGATTATTGAACATTTGTTCCTGTTTTTATTATATTTGCAGTATATTTGTTATTATGTTGGTGTTTTTATTACATGGCACATGTTCAAATGTTATTACTCTAGGGAATGTAAGGGTAAATCTTGCAATGGGGGTACCTCTTCTGATGACAACTGACTGAGAAGGGATTTCCCCTCACTTTGTAGAGAAGAAATTTGCTTTCACTACTTGTTGGATCTCCAGAACAGGAAGTAAAGGGGAATCTTCCCCAATAAGAAGAAGAAACAAAAAAGAAAAAAATAACTATTCCCTACTCTATCCAAAATGAAAAAAAAAAGTTTTCACTATATACATTTTAATAGACAAATTTACATCTAGAATAAAGTGGTTATTACTGTATATAGTAAACACCCAGGGCCAGTGCTTCCACTAGGCAATCTAAGTGGCCGCCTAGGGCGCACCGCCACCTAGGGGCACCTACGCACAGCACAGGCCTGCACTCTCTCTGTGGGACGCCTCCACGTCATGAATGATCCTCCAGCTGAGGGGAGGGGTGGCAGAGGGGAGAAAGAAAGGACAGAGGAAGATGCCAGGTGTCTGGGGCCAGTGTAGCAGCTGAGCTGTCCCTCCTTCCAGTGTTCCTCTCAGACTCAGTTCCTTACTTACTGCAAGCCGGCTGGCGGCTGCTTATTGTGGAGTTCCAGCTCTTCTCTACCCATTCATCAGTGGGAGGTGGAGCTGTGCCTGCAGAGGAAAGTAATGTCTGACTCTGATGTCTCGTGTCTGTGTGAGTGTGACCCGGCCAGCCGGACATCCATCACATGTGCAATGTATTAGTGAAGGATGAAATCATCATGATCCCACAGCCTGCTCTTCTAGTGCCTGCTGATCTGTGTCAGTGTAGGTGGTGGTGTGTTGTGTCAGATCTGTCACTGTGTGGGATCGCTCAGTTTAGCTGCCTGCTGTCACAGAGTTTTATTCCCCCCCTCCCATTGCCTGGGGAATTCCAGCCTAGGATCTCTCAGAGTGTGGAACTGTCACCCTGCCACTGCCAGCCAGATACAGTCTGTCCATAACACTGATTTTGTCTTTAATATTGGTGCTGGTGGCATCTTATGGCACTTATTTTTTGCAAATTAAAAGAAATTTTGCAGTTTCATGGTTTGTTTATTTAATATTTTCGACTATTTTAAAGTTTTTTTTAGGGGGGGGCTCAAGTAGCTGCTCTTGCCTAGGTTGTGGAATAGCCTAGCTCTGGCCCTGTAAATGCCACTTGCGATTTGTATGAAATGTGTATGCATATTACACAGTTACAGACCATCCAGGCTTACCTGTGTGTTCATACTTGTGTCGCAAGAGAGAGCTGCTTTTCTGAAAGGTTTTACTACACTGATCACAGGCATACAACCCATTTTCTAGCTTCTTTGAAATTTTTCGGGAACCGCCGTTGTGCTTTTCTTCACCACTGTTGATATTCTTAAAAAACATAAACATTAGGTTAACACATGCCAAGCCCCTGAGAATGCTGAGAATGCAAATCTGTCACAAAACACCCAAGCAGACATTTTGAGAGATAGCGTCTAAAGATGTCACACACCTATGACATACTAATGCCAGCTTATTTAATGTATATCTAAAGCGGAAACAAAATTGTAATATATTGCAACTTACCAGGCCTTAGATGTGTTGGCTGCATTAGTTTTCACTTTTCAGGCTAAGAACATTTTTAGCAAGTACAGAAAATACCTGTTGATCTTGCCACAAATGCAGTGTCCGTGTCACTCCCTGTGAGTATAAAAGAAAGCACAAGGAGCCTTATTTTTAGGCCTCAGTCACATGGGCATACCTATCCGTGCACTGGTGCAAGGGGCTTACTTTGCCTGCACGAGATGCACAAGTGCCTCTGGCCCTAAGTTGGCAGCCATGTGAGTGCGTGTCCCTGAACACAGACAGTGTTCATCCTGTGTAGGCAATGACTGCCCTTTGCATGGGTCTATGAATAGGTATTCACATGAGAATGAGGCCTTATTGTGTAAACTACTAGTCCCATCAGTGTACAGTATAATGAAGATGAACAAAGTAGACATGTTTACAGACCAGCCTGAATGACAACCATGGCTGCAGCTATAGATAGTGGAGGAAAAAAACATTTAGACATGAAGGGACAAGAAGTGTGTTATTCACAAGATCACCAGGTGAAGATAAAGGAAGAAAAAACATTATTGCAACAATTACATTTAAGGACTTGTAAGCTGCAATATATTAAATTTATGTTTTTGGGTTTAGATACGCTTTAACTCATCATTTCTGTAAATTAAAGTGATATAATTATTATTTCAGGTACTTATATAGCGCCATCAATTTATACAGCACTTTACATGTATATTGTACATTCACATCAGTCCCTAACCCTCAAGGAGAGTACAATCTAAGGTCCCTAACTTACATTCATAAATGCACATACTAGGGCTAATTTAGACGGGATC